TTGGGATGATTAGTATATAAACGTTTACGCTTGTATAGTCATTGTGCGTAAATGGGGTTGGCAGGCGATACGCGTTAGCCACGCTTTGGGATGATTAGTATTTAAACGTTTACGCTTGTATAGTTACTGTGTGTAAATGGGGTTGACAGGCGATACGCGTTAGCCACGCTTTGGGATGATTAGTATTTGAACGTTTACGCTTGTATAGTTACTGTGTGTAAATGGGGTTGACAGGCGATACGCGTTAGCCACGCTTAGGGATGATTAGTATTTAAACGTTTACGCTTGTGTAGTTAATGTGCGCAAATGGAGTTGACAGGTATTGCGCGTTAGCCAAGCTTGAGATGATTAGTAAACATTTACGCTTATATAGTTATTGTGCGTCAAATTAGAGCCCACAAGCTGATTTCTCGTACAAAAAGTGTGCAATCTTACTTCACAAATGACAACGGAATACTTTACAGCATAACGTGTTTTCATATGAGGTAAATAGTTAAGTGTATGTGGCGTGATCATAACTGTTAACTATTGTAGACTATCAAGTGTATCTAGCGAGATCATAACTGTTAAATATTATACACTATCAAGTATATCTAGCGAGATCATAACTGTTAAATATTATAAATTATTAAGTGTATCTAGCGAGATCATAACTGTTAAATATTATACACTGTCAAGTGTATCTAGCGTGACCATAACAACATAACCCGCTGTGCAATATCTCTGCACCCTCTTTGCACCATATGCACCTACATACCGTGATCCGTGAAGTTGTTGTGTTTGCGTTTGGCCTCTTCCAATTCTCGGTCCGCCACAGCAGCCTCGCCGATCAAGCGCACCTGCTCCTCCCGGAATTCGAGCTCTAACTTCTTGACGTTCGCGCTTAGGTACTCCCTCCGCAATAGTTCATTCTTCATATCTTCTCCTGTGGGGGCGTCTTTCCTGCAACCAGGGCAAGTGAATGTGGATACGTGCGCTACTTACTTAATCTGCATGAATGTACGGGTGTTGCCGACCTTACTTATACTTCTCCGTGTGAGATAAGGAAGTTTAGGGTGATGAGCGTACCGAACGATCGCCAAAAGATATGCTTTACCAGACACTGCGGTACTCATAACAAGTACTCATAACAATACACAGACGCAGAAATAATCTGTACACAGGTTGTAATAGAACTATCGGCCGATGGAGAACGCGTGTGTACCTCACTGAAGAGGCTCAGTTGAACTACAAATCTAAACATGAGATTCTGCCGCCCATGAATTAACACACCCACAGTTCAATTTGATTATCCACCTGTACAACCACCCTACATGGTTCATTAATGCACCATCAAACAGCTGCGTCATCACACGTTACACTGCCTTGACTCTCGAGCCGTGCGACATGGGACATCCCTTTCATAAATTTT